TATATATCATCTAAACTTAGAAAAAATTACATTTTTATATATTAATTTATATTTAAATTATTAAATATTATAAATTTGAAATACTTAAAAATTAATATATTTTTTTCCTAAATCGATAAATATTATTATAAATCAAAATGCACAAGCAGCCCCTAGCTGAATGGAACCGTCAACTGAAAAAGTGGGAGGACAAGTCAAGACTGCCTAGAATCACGACTAGAAACGCTAAAATAAAAAACACTCGCAACTAAACAAACCAGCTACACGAACACCTAACACAAACAAAAACTAAAACAACTAAAAAGATCCCAACATAATAATGTCCAAGTGTAGGATCCCAACAGGACTGGTGGTTTGGTATTGATGCTGCAGTAGCCGCATGTTGCACAGAATGTCCAGCATTTGACAAAGACGATCCGAAATTCACTTTCTCAGAATCCCCCGGCATAGGGGATGGAACCATGGAAGTTGAAGGAGATGGGACAATAAATGGTGAGTTTGCAGAATGCAAAGGAGTTCCACCTTTGGAGTGCGATGTCGGATCAATTTGAGGAGATGGTTGGTGACTGATCTGCGGGGATGTCGCCTGTAGACCCTGCTGTGAGGATATAGAGAATGGGGCTCCAGGTTTCATTTGTTGGTGAATGTATGATTGCCGTTGGCCAGAGGAACTATGCTGCTGGAGAACTCCTGATTTTGCCCCAATCTGGTGCCTCATCTTCATATCATTTGCATCATTAATTGGATTAAGCTGCATCATTTGCTGACCAGGCAACTGAACTGACTGCTGCAGTCTAGATTGTTGCTGTTGCTGCTGAAGTAACTGCTGCCTAAGCATTTGTTGACGCTGATGGGGTATTGTTAGCATATGGCAATCTCTTGGTCCACCCCGAAATACTTCTCATTCACATGTTACCAATTATTCTCAATATTAATCTCACATAGAATAAAGTTATTTCATAAGTAAAGATTATAAAAAAAGTTCATTATTTGGCAATGACAAGCTAGAGAAACCCATCCCTATGCACTGCAAAGTTTTCCATCCTACAACAGATATTTTGAGAAGGGAAATCCATAGCAAACACAATGGCCAAGCTAGAAACAGAGAGAACTTAAAAACTTGCCACAGTTCAAAATTCACTTTTATGAGTCTCACCCATATTACAACCAAATTAAATCATATGTTCGGTGGTCACCTCGGATTTACAATTTCATCTTATTCACCATAGTTTGTTCCACAGCCAAATCAGCACAATAAACAGTAGAAGAAATGCTTGATGAAATATTGCTACAAAAAGCATTCAATGCAGCTGCACAAGGTCAGTACATTATATGAAGATGAGCCAATATGGCTTGAAAAGATAGCATTACCCTAATTCTTAGTACAAAAATCTCACTTGTCTAAAACATGCCGGCAAAAAAACACTAGTCAAATCACAACCAAAAATCACAGAAAATTTTACATGTCGAATAGATTATATGAGATCTCTAAAAATATGACTATAGGGATAATATTTGTACAAGCCTACACATATATTTCATCGTCGCATTAAAGTGTAGAAGCATGCATAATCTGATGGATGAACAATATTTAGTGATCAAGAATCTTTGGAGAACAAATACAATCAAGAATCTTCCTAGAAGTGAAATTCGCCAACCTAAATAAGTTCACAAAACTCAGGTATTGATACTACAACCTATATATATAATAAATAAATAACAATAATGATGATGTCGACAACAATAACTATATTAATAATAGTAATCAACTACAAAAGAACAAGTCGAAATGCTAAGGAATGTGCATAATTCAGACATGACTAAAACATTCTATGCCAAGTTTCAGGGCAAACTTATCACTTCACATAATACTGACATGAAACTGAAGTCATACATTTCAAGCTTCATAAAATTGAACAGCTAAGTGTAAACCAAATTACATCCTAAAATCATACGCACGAAATTTCCGTGTTTTGTCTTATGATTGTCTATTATGCACTAGTTCCTTATATGTAACACATATCAATCTAATATTTGCATTGCAGTCAAATATACCATTGTACAACTGACCCAAACAAAAGACAACGTTATATCATGGCACAGTAGACCTTAAATTAATCGCATGTAATGTGAAAAAAAGGGGGAAAATGTTTCCAGTTTATGAAGACGTTATTTGTATAAACATATACATTTTTATTTTTTTATTGTCAAAATCAAATTAATAAATTAAAGAATTATTAAACATTCTATCAAAAATAGTAAATCTAGAAAAAAATTAGATTCAGTTTTTCTATTTTATATTATTTTATAACGTTTGGAAGAATATATAAAGAGTACCATATTATACTAATTTTTTAAGAGTAGTATGCAAATACATACTATTGTAAACATACTCACATTTTTTTTTTTTGATAAATTGGATCATGTTTATGGTTTTGCTTTATTTAATTAGAATAATATAATATCTATCTTTTAATTTAAATAATTTATAGTTGTTTCATTTAAATTAAATAATATAATATTTTATTACCATTTAATGTAAATAATATTTAAAATCACTACTAATATTGGAAAAAAGTTTAGAAAAAAGTAAATACCACTCGTGTATTCTAAAGTTTTGACTTTTCCGCCCCAATTTGACATTTATATAACGCCCCCAAATAAACATTTCCCAACATAATTCTTGTTTTTTTATATAATTATTCTTCAATTGTATGACTTGTACAAATGAGTAAACCATTTCATGCATAGTTTTTAAACCCGGCCCGGTAATCGACCCGGGCAGGTCTTCGGGTCACCGGGTCACCGGTTCAACCGCTGGGTCACCGGGTCAATTGCTGAACCGGATAATTAATTTTAAAATTTATAAAATTATATATAGAGTATTTTGTGATATATAAATATACATAAAAATAACAAACTTAAATATTTTGTATGTAAAATTTGTAGATTAAAGTGGTAATAATATGTATATATTTATCATACAAATATATATACTTAATTTTATTTTTTAAAAAGAAAAAGAAAATTAAAAACAAAAAAAAATACATATAGACTGGGTCAACCGGGTTGACCCAGCCGGGTCAATGCCCCGGGTCAACGGGTCAAGGCCGGGTCGACCGGGTTTGACCGGGTCCGTTGTTGCCCGGTCTAATTAACCCACCGGGACCGGTTCCGGCTCCGGGTCGATCGGGTCCCGGGTCGATCCGCCGGGCCGGGCCGGGTCACAAAACACTGATTTCATGTTCCCAATATTTAATTTATAAAATTAATTTAAATATTAATACAATATTTATTTTTATAAAATATTTTAAGTATTTCTTTCCCGCATCATAATCAAATAAAATTATTTTTAATATTGTTAATTTGTGCATCGCACATGTGCGTACTAGTGAATTTGAATACAATTGCATGGAACAATAATCAGTAAAATTCCACATGGTGGAACCAGAAAATTCAACCAGCCGATTAGAGCTGATTTAACTCTACAGAGAAGGGGAATGAGACAGCCAAACTAAACTTACTTAGCGGCACCTCAGGGATGACCCTTTGAGATTGCATCAACGACTTTTGTTGATCAATTGTGGTTTGTTGTTGATGCAACGGCCCAGCTGTTTGAATCCGCTGTTGCATGTCCCTTTGTAGTGTGCTAGCCTGCTGTTGTAGACCCAATTGCTGCTGCAGTTGCCCTGGCTGTGATTGGATCTGAGACATCAGCTGCATCGATGACTGCGGCTGTTGAGCTTGGTTAGGCAACAAGTTCGACTGCATTGGCTGTTGTACCCCAACCTTAGGTTGCTGCAACATATGGACATGCTGCTGATTACTTTGCAAGCTAGACGTACCATGCTGCATTCCAACCATTTGCTGCTGCTGAAAACCGTTGAGGCTTTGAGTGCCTAATTGCTGCTGGTGCATATTCGGGAAGTTGTTCTGCTGCCCAGTTGACTGCTGTTGATGCATGCCCTGAAGGTGGTTCTGTTGACCAACTGCCTGTTGCTGTTGCAAGTGTGACATATTGTTCTGCTGAGAGATCATCCTCTGCTGCTGCTGCTGCTGCTGCTGTGCGTCAAGAATACTATTATTTTGGCCAATCAGCTGATTCGGTTGTATGTTTGCATTGTTAGGCTGCTGCCCGCTAAGCTGCTGCTGTTGTTGCTCCTGTGTGGGCATTATGGGATGTTGAGGCATCGAATTTTGCTGTTCATGCATGATAGAAGGCTGCTGCGGTTGTTGTTGTTGCCTGAGGACGGACTGTGATTGCGGCTGAAGCATAGATTGAGTCAACTGCTGAAGAAGTGTCTGCTGATTTTGAAGGATGGGTGAAGCCGATATTTGCCTTAAAGAAGGTTGCATGACAGCCTGCTGAGGGGGTTGAAGTTGATTCTGCTGCAACAGGTTATGCTGCTGTTGTGGTTGCTGCATCTGAGATTGCATCATGGGTTGCTGCTGAATACTTCCTGGCTCAAAATTCGGCTTGAGGAGTTTCTGCTGGTTATAAAGATACTGCTGAGAGTTCTGAGTCTGTTGTTGTGGCTCTTCAGTCATAACCTGTTGTTGCTGTCCTTGAATTTGTTGTCTCTGAGAATTGGCGTACATATTGGACGACACTTCTTGCCCCATGGAACTGCCCATGGCATTACCGGATATATTAGGCATATTCTGTATGTTTTGCATGTTAGGATTCTGTGTGGTCATGCCACCAACTGAGGGCATTGTGGAGGTAAGACCAGAAGAATTCGGCACTCCAATTGCCGAAATATTGTTCTGCATATTCTGGGATAGATGCTGCTGCCGAGCTTGAGAATGATTGGAAACCAATGGAATCGGGAGTTGCTGGACCTGGTTCTGCATTTGAGAGTGCATGCTTTGAGAACCTGCAAACGCTCAAATCGTCCAATGGTGACCCTTTCGGCCGTAAGAGGAATTTCCGAGGTATGCACAACGACACACATAAGCATTTGCAAGTAAATAAATTCAAAAAAAAAAAAATTAGTAAAGGCCTGCACAGGCTGCACAGAGTATGTGCAACAACACACATACGCATTTGTCAGTAAATAAATTCAAAAAACAAGTAGTACAGGTCATAATTATGCAATGGCAACAGCAGGAAAGAAGTATCATGGCTTGATACAAACTAGATTAGGACGCAATTTTCAATAGTCTTACAAGAATTGTGAAGACCCGACAAGTCGGGAAGTACGGAAATAATACAGGTAAAAAAAACCAAATGCATTGTCCTTTATCTAATATAGACGAACAAGCAAATAGCTCAAACAAGTGTCGATTACAAGATTCAAAGAGACGAGCATAATGTTTAAAGATCTTTAAAGCAAAATCCAAGCAAAAAGAGATGCCTCTAAAAATTCAGGACCAGACTAATGAGGCGCTGCAAGTGGACAGGTTCGTGGAACTTAATAGGTGGAAGTACTTGGCTAAGTGCTCCAATAAATACCTAAAATAATTACCTAAAACTGACCATGATGAAAGTATGAATACAGACTTTGTCGCTGTGGTCAAGGAAGGATGAATTTCATCAATTAGTCACGACAACGTTAATTTGAATCATAGTTACCAATATGATATTATGATTATCTATATAATTTAGCCAATTAAATATATGGATGGTTAATGACTAAAATGGAGTAGCAAGAATAATGTACAGATTTAAAGGATACATGTGAGCATAGTTATTCCCAAATCTGAGCAAATTATTTTGGTACATTGATTATCTACCTGGATCTTGGGGGGCTTTACTATTACTTGCAGTATTAGACTGAAGAGAATTCGCCATAGGATTTTGGGATTTTGTCTCCATAGTCAACATCTTCAAGGATATTTTTCTTAAATAGTCTTGCTGCAAGAGAAAGTTAAAGATGAAAACAACAAAAGTAAAAATGGACGATATTTTCATCACACCAAAAGAGCAAATGTTACATAAATTTTAGTTGGATAGCATAGGGGAAACCAATAATATAAGTATTATACCTGACTTGTTGCTGCAGTATAATTTTTCTCCTCAAACCTGACAGCTATTTTCTTAAGTTCCTGTAGTCCCTCTTGTCCAGAGAAAGGAAGATGCCGCTTCAAAGTCTCCATTCTATACAGTTGAAGTGTCATGTCTTAGTATGATATTCATAGCATTTCAATATGATATTCATAGCATTTCAATATGATATTCACAACATTTCAACCACAAAGAGAAAATAAATAAATACAGGAAAGCCAGGGAAAATTTTAGAATAAATAAAATAAAACTGATAGTCGGGTGAAGAAGAAAGTAAAAAAGAAAAGAAAAGAAAGCAGAACTATTCCATCAGTTCCACTTTTGTATAACAACAGAAATGCAGAAACAAAAGCCTCAAACATTACATGATCTTTTATACTTCTATTTAATCTCCCTATTTATGACTGACTTCGATAGAAATTGCACTTTCCTCGATCTGACATATCATAATTGGGCTGCACATCAAAACCACAACAGGTTGTAAATTACGACATTAGAACTAGTTTGGTGTAGCATTGGCAAACTAGTTTGGTACGGAAAGCGTTTGAAAAAAACCCAGATCTTGTCCAATTCCATGGGAGCCTAATAATTTTTTTATCTTCCACTCATCTGACATCCAAATGGAAAAAGAATAACTAGACATGATTAGGCCAATATGGTGATTCATAACAAGCAACACTTAACAAAAAGGATCACATTTCGCAAAAAACTATCAAATGCATTCTAAACACAAGTTTAAAACACAAAAATTTACAGAAAATGATGCAGTTTAAAATCCCATATTTTTCCTCAACGCTCTTAACCATTGTCATGATCAGGAATGTTGAGTTATCAACCATTCAAAAATGAAAACAACAGTGTACTAACTTCCACGTTGGAGCTACTCCCACAAACCGATACATGAGATAGTTGGAAAATCATTGGCATCCAACGCACAGAAAACTTCTAATAACAGGACGGATTAAAAAAAACTAAATGTAGCTTCTTTAACGATCAAAAAATATACCATCTTTCCAGTTACAGCTACTCAAAAAACAAGCATGTCTTTCATAACCCCACCCGACCTCAATAACACTCCATTCGGACAAAAACAAATGTTACACTATTCAGACTTAAAATTTAATTATACATATGCAAATACTTGGTAATTAGGCAGGGAAACAAAAATTAAATTTAGAACTTTGCAAGCCCCAAAATGAGTAAACGTATCATAGAAATAATTAGAAACACCAACAAAAAATGTAAAAGGGAAATTTTTTACAATACATCTTGTTTACTATCCTCTGTCTGGAATCCGGTTGTAGCTGAGTCCTCCAATCGCCTCCTTCCATACCCGCATTCGGCGCCGATTCTCCGCCGATAACCTGACCCGGAATTTGGACCTGCCCTTGAGAAGCCCTCCAATTATTGCTATCCATTTTTCACCTTCTTCAAAAAAGGGAAAGTAGAAGACAAACAAGGACGAACCTGTTTATGTATCAAATGTCAATAAACCATGCGGTGAAATTCAACAACATAAAATAAAAGTCGTTTCACTGAAGGCTACACAAAATTTTTTGAGTATCTGAAGAAACAAAAGACCATTGAACCTACTCAAAATTTTTAGTGTGCCGGCCGATCTGCGTGCTTGCGACTCGATTTTGACATAGACTTTGCTGCAAGGAGGATTGTGAGAAGGGGCGAGCGAAAGATATTGCCGATGACGACTGTATATGTAGAGATGTTAAATGGGCTACGGCTAACCCTAGCGGGCTTCGAGCTAAACGGTTTAAACGGGCTATAATAATAATAGTACATAGAAAAACATATAAATAAAAATTACAATGACTAATTCACGATTGTTTTCAACGGCTATTTAATATTTACTGCTCTATATATGTACAAATACACTTCATGTATGAACACGCATTACAAACTCGTAAGTGACATGTTTTTCATAAAAGAAAAAAAAATTGAACTATTACTTATAACTAGTACAACACCCGTGTATTACACGGGTGCTTGCTAATTTATTTTTTAAAAATTTAAAATTAATGAGAAAAAGTAGTTTGAAAATTTAAATACATTTTATAAGAATATATATATATATATATATATACATATTATATATTTATTATGATACTTTTTATTTGTGCGACTTACTTGTGTTATATTATAGTAATTTTTTAACTTACACTATATAACTACATTAAATATAAATATATCAATTGAGAAATAATTTTATTTTTCTAATGAATTTTAATAAATATTATTTTTTTTATTATTATAAAGATAAATATAATTTATTTATTTTATATATACAATATGGATGTCAAATCGAAGATCATCAAAAGATGATTAATTTGATATATTATATATGTAAAACCGATAAGAAATACAAAAGTTATCTACTTTTAAAATACATTTATAATTCAATAGCTTATTGAAGGAAGCAAATCAAAATTTAGGGATATATTAGTCACTTAGTGTCTCACTATGTAAAATTACAAATAATTAAAGGGATAAATTAGTAAAAGTGATATTAAAATACCTAAGTTAGCTAAATAATATTTATGGAATACCCGAACCTAGATTATTAATTATTATTATATTAATATTATTTGTCCAAACCTAATTACGAAGCATGATTCTTCGCCAAATAGGATTCCGAAGCACCAGAAGCAGCCACGTAGGCTCGGCGCATTCTCGAATTATATATAGAGAGGATTACCATTTTACTATTTATTCTACACGCTTTGAAAATTTTCACGATATTGTATCTTACTGCTGAATTTATATTCTATCACTACGATCTATGTGTTAGGTCTTTGTCTCGTGTGTTTTCTATTGTCGTTCTAATTGATTTAAATAATTTAGTGTGAAGTAGAATAACGAAATTGTTAATAATTATCTCTTAAAATCATAATAACCCGCTACAACTCATAGTTACATATGAAGTAGAATAGCTAAGTTGCAACATACAAATTAAACGGACTAGCCCTAGCGGGCTTCGGGCTAGCCATATCGGACTTCGGGCTAAACGGTGTGGGCCTAGAAAGCCCTGATTTAAACGGGCTACTAAAAAAACCCTAACCCTATTTTTTTCGGGCTAAACAGGCTGGCCCGTCGGGCCAAAGACCGTTTAACATCTCTAAGTATATGTGAACGGATCAGTGTGGTATAAAATAGTGAAGCTGATTAAATAAAGGCATTACTAGGGTGTTCATGGTCTGGATTGACCCAGTTTTAGCTCAAACCATGACCAAACCGGACCTAACGGTTATTTTTTGTTGGTCCATAACCGGACCGATTTTATTTTTTAACCGGCCACAATCCATACCGTATTGGACGGTCCGATGTGACGATTGACCGGTTAAATCCAAAATCCTTGTTTTGGGTCTTCAAATTTTTTTTAGCTTAATTTTTATTTTTTAAAATAGATTATTTGGGTCTAAAAATTAAGAAAAACACAATAATGAAATAAAAAATACACAATTCGTCCCATGAGCATAACATATACATATTTTGTCCCAAAAAATTAGAAAGAGAAAGTGGAAAAATCTGAAATGAAAAAACGAAGGTGGAAAACAGTGAAAAGTTATAGTGTCCTATAATATTAAGTCAACAAAATGCCGAAAAGTGAAAGTGATGTATTGTATTTGTCGGTCATAGTGAGTGACTATATATATATATATATATATAT